AATTTTATATACTATGTTATAGAATGTAAATTTTATTGATTTTAATGGCAACACAATAATGTTAATAACTAATGTTGAAAGTGAGAAGAGAGAAATTAGAAAAAATGTGTGATTTTAATGTCTTCAACTTTTGTATTATATTTGTTTTTGAGTCCATCTAATACTAGAACATTGGGGCCAAGGATTTGGTTCAGTGATTCCACAACATGTCTCGCAAGCACAGGGTCCAGAGTTCAATCCCTGGTACCAAAAAAAAGAAAAAGTTACCTAAAACTAGAACATTATTAATAAAATATAATAATTCTCATTTAAATGCTTTTAAATCTTAACCAAAGGTAATATTTTTAAGTATTAGTTCTAATGTGTAAATTTTTCAATATCACCTCATTAATTTTATTGCATTTAAGTAGAATTTATTCCAAAGTTTTTTCTCTAAACAACATTCATCATTTTTTATTGTGATCTAGAGTATAGATGGAAATATACCCATGTAAAAATTGAGTCCTATTTTTCACTTGAAAATTATCTTTTTTCTCCAAATTCCATGTGAATTCGTGCAGCTTTTAGAAATATCTTAGTATCTTCTTTCTTGAATCACCTTTGTATATGTATTTCATTTACTAAGTAAAACTAGTATTGATGGTAGTAGCACAACTGATTACATGGTTTAGCTGTTTACTTTCTTCAAAACATAACTGAATAAATTGACAAGAGGTATACTAACGTATCAGGTGTAGAACAAATTACTACTCAATCACCTTATTTAGTAAATACCTCATAAGAATAAAGTTTTAACTGTAAACTCAAAATTATTTATCTTACTCAAATATCGAAAATTTAAATTCCACAAAATGTTGCTAAGTATGGGTTGCAATTTAATCAAACTCCACAGGTTTTGTCAAGGTAATGGTTTCATTCTCTATCACAGATAATCTCAAAATTTGATTACAATGCATTATCAATTTACTACAAACGTAGAGTTAAAATTGAGAGAGTATTTGCTGTTCTATTCAACTACCTACCAACTTTGTGTGTTTTGGACTCTTAAGGATCATCTTCCCATATCTGTAGTATATAGTAAAATATTTCTCCTTTTTGCCATAAGGTCTCATTCCCCCTTAGATATGCTGCTTTTACTCAGACACATTCTCTTTTGATTGATCAGCTTTTCATCCTCTGTTTTCATCTTCCACAATTAAAGCCCATTCTCTAAACTCCACATCAATTTCAGTCTCTTCTGATGAGTTGTATCTTGATATTGTTTCTAAACTCCCCAGTTTTACTCGAACTACAATAAGAGGATGGAGGGGTTCCTGTTGGACATTAGGTGATTAGGAAATAATTACTTTTTACTGGACTGTCAAATAACTCAGCTGGAAATTTTCATATAAATTTTAAACCAAGTCATAGCCTTATATAGTATAATCAATATATTATATTTAGCCAAATTTCAGGTTAATTTTGTGAAGGAGTCTGTAACGAAAGCTCTGGAAGTTTATTGAGCACTTGCAAAAGGTAAAGTCAGCAATTATTTTAAATGAAATATGGCACCACTAAAAATAATATCACACAAAACCTATGGCATTGAGAATATATACTCTACAAGGATGGGGAAGATACTTGTCTTTTCAAAATCTATGTGTAATATTGCTTCAAATACTGTGAAAATGTGATATGAAATCCAAGGTAGTGCAGTAAGAAAATAAATCAATCATGAAATCACTAGTAGATGAAAATAGACTAGTAAATAAATGTGATAGCATACAGACAATTACAGTACAGACTGCTATACCTTCTGCAGGTAAGGGGCATAAAATATAAATAAAAAATAAAAAGCGAAACTACTGAGCAAATACTTGGTACAGCAACAGAGCATAAAACAGTTCTAGATACGACAGTCCTAGTCCTATTTTTCATAATGGAAAACACATAGGAAAACATGAGACACTAAATACAAATGAAAACACAGTGAGCGGAAGGGAGTTGGTGAAAAGAGCTCAGGACAGACTGATTTTACCGAAGAACTAGTGCTGGGCACTGAGGGACGCACGGAAGAAAGCTGAGTGCAGATTTTAGGAAAAAAAAAAAATGTTGAAAGTTAATTTTACCTTAATGTAAATGGTACATCTAGATAAGATAGCAGCTATTTAAATTTTTTAAATTTTAATATTCCAAAGCAACTAATAAATCAACTGATCCTTTCAAATGATTAAGTCAGGGAACAAACTTAAGACCAGTCATTCACTGTTTCAATAGATTTAGATGGTCAATTCCATTAAAATCATCGTTAAAAACAGTCAGCACTCCAGTGAGAAACTAAGTGAAAGGAACTTCATGTTCCTTACATGTAATAATATTGTTGACTTTAAACTAACTGTAGTATAATTGGCATCAAATGAATATAATGATTTCATATGCTATTTAAATGAATATGAATACCAAATGCTTTCTAGAAATATGTTTTGTAAATTACTAAGCATTCAAAACATTCTAAAATTTTTAATGTTGCATTTATTTCCAAAATATTTTAGTGTATTATTTTAAGACCAATTGGCAAAAAAAATCATAATTTTAAATGTCAGTGCAGATAACTATAAAAAAATTGTTGCAATTGCAGTAAAAAAATACATTATAGTAGTAACCTGTAAAAGGTTTTTTTAAGAACTGTGAAGAAAAACATGTGAACTACAGATTATATGCTCATTTTCAAAGGTTCCCCTTTATCCCCAAAAAAGGTATAGTTCAATTCATAGCTCACACTTCATTAGAAATTCTGGGAGATCCTACCAAGGCCACTAATGAAATGTTTTCTGGTGTGTATATTTATTCAGTCCGTACTTAAATTTTTAAAATAATTTATACATACTTAACAATATATCCTATTGTTTTCAAAAACATTCTGATATCTAAAAGCAGTCCTATAACCTGCCATTGGTTGAGTGCCCTCAGCAAGATTAAGGCCATCAAAGCAGGATGTTGTAATGTTTAAAGAAGCCTTCCAACTCCTAATAGCAGGAATAAAAGATGTGCTGCTCAGACCTCAAAAAGCATTTAATGTGTTGGAGGTAGAAGAAGGAGAGGTGAAGCACAGAGGATCTTAGGGCAGTGAAACAACTCCGTGATGTTATAATAGTAGATACAAATCATTATAGAAAATGTTTGTCAAATTTACAAGATGAGCCCTGATATAAACTCTGGGCTCTAGGAGATGCAATGTGTCAGTGTAAGTTACTTTATTGATCAGTTGAAGATGCTGATGATGAAAGAGGTTATGCGTGTGTGGGGCTATGAGACATTTGGAAAATCCTTGTGTATTCTCCTCAATATGAATATCAACCGAAAATTGCTCTTTAAAAAAGTCTATTCAAATAAGCTTTTAACTTTCCCAATGGAAACCTGATAGCTATCTAGATAAAAAGGATTTAGCAAAAAGCAGAATCAAATAGCCGAATTTTGCATTGAAAAGTAGGCAGCTATTACTTCAAAAATTTAAATTTTAAACTCCTCCAAGGTTATAAGATTATAAAGAAAATGTGTGAAGTAGGAAGAACTCAAATTAGGAATGTACATTAGAATCTGCTATCTGAACCTAATAAGGGAAAAAAGAGTCAGTCTATTCTCCTAATAGAGTCTCAGCTAATGTGACAGATTAGTAAAGAAAGGAGATAAAAATCATCTTATCACTTAAGTAAATGCTTTCTAGAATTGGCTGAAGAGAACATGGAGGCCATCATCAATAAACTTACTAGACCAGGAACAAACTGAAAGTTCATTCGTAAATACATGCATTTGAGCAGCATAAAGGCAGGCTAGGCTCTTATTTTAATTACCTGTATTTGTCCACGTAGGCATGTCCAAATAGACATTCCACTATCATAGTCATACTTCTAAATATGAAAATAGGGTTGTATCACATTCGTTGTATGTTTCTTGGTCTGCTTCATGTGTACAACTTCATGTCTATCAATATCAGTAAAATATAACCCAAATGGAATTTTATTCTTAGTGGTAACTAAAGTGAACAATGGTCTTAATCCTTTAAAATTCTTTCATATACATTTAGGTACTGGTCTATAAATAGTCATTAATAGAAGTATGGTCCAGGCTTATTCATGTTAGTTAATTTCCTATCATTAGACAGTAAGCACTAAAAGCTATATCTTAACAAAGCTTGAATTGCCACAGAAGAGCTCAGTGAGGATCTGAGTTCTCAAAGGCAACAGGCTCACTCCATATGAGAAGGCATTTTTCTCCTGGGTGTTTTTGGCACACTTACAACAAATGGGAGAGCTGCCCTACTGCCTAATAAATTCTGATTGGCAGATCTCTTGTGCTGAGTGTGATCACATAGTAAGTGCTGAGCTCTGCCTGGCTCTGTTGAAATAACGGGCCATGCAGATCCAAAGGCTGCCTTAAATGTTCTACCATTTTATTACTGGCAGAAGAGAGAATTTAAATGGAATGTCAGTCAGAATTGATGTTTTTCTCTGCAGCTGTGAGCTTCAGCTAAATAATCTCTATCACTCAGATTTTGATGAATCCCATAATCCAAATTCAAATATTGCATTTTTCTCTCATATTATTTTAGGGTTCCTTCTGTGCAAAAAGCTGCGAGGGCAAGTACCACTTCTAACTGATGTGAATGAGTTGAATGCTTTTTGCTGCTGGTGTTCTTTCTTTAATTTTTATAAAATAGTCTCCAATCCATAAGAAAGTGTTGTTTGTTAAAAAGACGTGCGTTTTCCTTTAGTTATCATGTTTTTATATGGTTCTAATGTCTCAACTTCTTTGAGTAGTAGAGACCAGTTTAGAACAGGGTAGTATAAACTCAGTCAAAGCTGCTCTCTACATTTGGCAGACATTAGGGACTTTTTAAAAATAGATTTGTGTATTTCTTATGTAGTAATGTAAACATTTAGAACATATTTCTGTATGCATTTATCTGAAGTAAATTTGTTGAAGCCCTTTATGTGAATTTCGATAATCTCTTTTTCCATCAGGTGCAAGGAACCATCTTCCCAGCTCCCAATTTCAACCCCGTAATGGATGCCCAAATGCTAGGGGGAGCCCTCCAAGGATTTGGTAAGGCTGGCTATGTCTGCCTTTTGCTGTAGTATTGTTTTGGGTTTTTTTCCTAGGTGATTGCAAAACAGCTGATATCTTACAAAAGGAAGATAGAAGTTAAACAAAAAAAAAACATGGGAAAAAGTAGAGTAAGAATTAAAAAATAGAAAGCGATAGTAATGGTGATCAGATTTGCCTCGTAAAATTGCAAATCTGATCTTGACATTTTTGCCTTAGGTTTTTAAATGCCTCATGACTTAGTATGTGAAATCTGAAACAGACAAAAAACTTACTCTAGGATGAAACATCCTTGATGATCATCGTGTTTATTTGTTTTCTATTAGTTTCTGTGGCTACTTTCACTCCCAGCAAAATCAAAATCGTGACTCTCCCAAGTGGCTCCTCTATTTTACATCTCTGTAAATTAGCCTACTAAACTCCCTGCTTAGGATGCTCCTTTCTTCCTTCGCCTACTTTTAACCCACATCTTTTCAGGAGCCATTGAAATGAGGCTTCCTCTTCAAATCCTTCGAGCACTCCAAGGGCTCCAGCTATGCCCCCTGGTCCAGCTTCCTGCTTCCTGCACCTCCCATCTAAACTGATGCGCCTGTCTCACCTGCTGCCTGCACTGAGAGCTCTTGACTTGGAGTTTGGCATCTCGGTGCTTAACAAATGCATGCTTATTGAATGAGATTAGAGTCTAGAGAAGGTATATAGAAAGGAGACAGAAGGGAAATTATTAGGTTCCTTTTGAAAAGATTCATCTTTAAAATGTGATTTGGAAGCCCTAAATTTTCAATTATTTTCCTTAAGTGCTAACAGTTTTATGGAGATTTCTGGTGAGCATGAAATTAAACACAGAAATCATAAAAGCAATGCTCTTAAAGCATGCCAAACCTTTCATAAGGAAGCAAGCTCTTGACTTTAAAGACAAGGTCGCCCTCATGGAAACTGTGTGTGTGGGCATATGTACACATATGCACGCATGTCTGTATTTTATTCACTGGTCCCTTAGGAAAACAATAAAGAGCTTTAAACCTGCTGTCTAAAGTTGATATTAAGACTTTGTAATGCTTTTGTGGCTTTTAAACTATCAGCCATCACAACAAAAATGTAGAAGCAAGATAACAAAAAGTTATGGATTAACTTTTTTTTCAGGAGTATAATTTTTGCCTTAAAACTATAGGTCAGAGCAGTCTATTCACCATTTTTTGTCTTTGCTCCTGTTTCACCTGCCCTGTCACTGTAGTTTGAGGATCGAAATATAGATTCTTTTTGACCACTGTAATTTCTTGCTTGTCAGTGTTCAAGGCTGAAGTCCTTCAGAAGGTTTTGATGGTACTGTGCCCACGGTAGCATGTCCAAGAACACGGTCGGTGTCCTTTAATAGTCTATCCATGTTGATAGCTTCTGAAAAGTGCAACTGAAAAAGACAATTACTAATGTTTTCCTTGGCTCTTGTTTTGATTTGGAAAAATCTGAGAGTGAAAAAAAAACAACTAATGCAAATAAAAATGAGTATAATCTTAAACCATATGAAAATTTATGGCATGAATCTCAATCTAAAAGAACACAGTCCTCAGGTAATATTTCTTAACTGTGCTGTCCCTTCTGAATTCCCTGTTACGAGATGCTACTTAAGCATTCTTAAAACGAATATTTGTGCATCCTTAAAGTAACTATACCTTATTTCTTTCATTCCTACCAATGCATGCAGTTGGCAGGTGACCTCTGGAATCATTTTTAACCTTTATTCATATTTGTAAAAAGATTGCACTGGTACAAATTAAGCTTTTCTTAAATGGTGCTGTGTACAGTGAATAACCGTACCTTATTCTTCACCTTTCTCACTATTTTATGTGCAGTGCTAGTTATAGGATTTTGGAAATGCCCTGTATCAAGTTGGGGGACTTCTCTTCTATTCCTGGTTTGCTGAGAAATTTTATCTTAATATATGTGGTAGTTTCTCAAATGCATCTTCTGTATCTGGACACAATCCTATGGTTTTGATCCTTTTGACTATTGATGTAATAGACTACCTTGATTTAGAAAGTTGGACCAGACTTGTGTGCCTCTGTATTTCCTTTGTACACTGTTACATTCATTTCCTAATTATTTGAGAATTTTTACATATTTATTTATCAGAGGTGGAGGTCAGTTGTTTTATTTGTTTTGTGTGGCTTTCTGTAATTTCTTCCTCTACTTTTGGTATTAGGGTAGTATTGGTCTTATACAATGAAAGACTTCTCTCATTCGCTGCCTCTCATAGAAGCAGAGCCTTCTTCTGCTTCTATTTTCTAGAAGAGATTACAGAAAATTGACATTTCTTCTTCAGAAGTTTGTTATAATTCACTAGGGAACAATTTATTTGGTCTTAGGGTTTTGACAAGCTATTAATTATTTATTCAACTTCTCTATAGATATAGGATTGTTCAGATTTTCTTTTTCTTGAGTCTGAATATTCTGTGTCCTTGAAGGAATTGATACATTTCGTCCACTCTACCAAATTTGTGAGCATAGAATTTTCCATCATCTTTTATTATCCTATTAGTATCCACAAGATCGTCAATGATAAGATCAATGCTGATCAGTGGTATCCCTAGCATCAATAGATAGTGATAGACTGGCTTTCATCTCTAATATTGGTATTTTGTATCTCTCTTTTCCTTAGCCTGGCTAAAGGATTATAGATTTTACTGATTTTTTTTCAAAGATCCAGCTTTGATGTCATTGATTTTCTTTATGGATTTTCGATTTTCAATTTTATTTCTTTCTACTCATTTTTTATTGATTTTCTTTTGCTAATTTTAAGCATAATTTGTACATCTTTTTAATTTCCTAGACCTGATCTTTCTTCTTCTCTCATTTATTATTCAGTATCATAAATTTACCTCTAAACATCATGGTTTTTGCATCACATAAATTTCAGTAAGTTGTATTTTCATTTCATTTTGTTTGATTTTTAAAAATTTGGTATGTGCTATTCAAAAACATTTTTAGCTAACATGTGTTGTAAGGTTTCTAGTTATCTAAACTTAATGATTCTTAGTTACTCATTTCTAGATTATTTTTCTGCTGGCTTGAAATCATATTTTACATGTTTTACTTATATTCTGCTTAGTTTGTGAACATAGGTTTTCTGGTCCAGAATCTGATGTATCTTAATAAAGGTTTTATGTGAATTTGAGAAGAATGTATTTTGCTGTTGTTGCATTATTTCAGTTTTTGGGTTTTTGTTATTGTTGTTGTTATTTCCGGTACCAGGAATTGAACTCTGAACCTTGTGCTTGTGAGGCAAGTAGGGTACTACTAAGCTAAATCCTCAGCCCCTTGCATTAGGTATTGTATTTATATAGAGGTCAACTCAAGCCAATCTATTTTTCCAGACACAAGGTAAACATAAAATGTAGTTTTTCTTCCTTTGACTGTTGTCAAGAAATAAAAATTATATAACTTGAAATATTGATAGAAATATAATTACAAATATGTTTAGAAAACTAAGGTTTCTTTTTGAATGAAAGAAAAAACTGTATGCCTTTGCGAAGGACTCTAGAAAAGAAAAACACTCAAATAATTTGGCAGATACAGCATGTTAGTGACAGAAAGATCACATTTTCAAAACTGTGAACTTTATAGTCATATTAAAATATTATAATAAAATGCTTAGGAGCCATAGAAAATCTTTCTACAATACCTCTGGAAAGATAAATAGACAAGAGCTTCTAGGAATTTTTTTAAATTAAGAGCAGTTGAGAAGAATAGGTTGTAAATAATCTCAATGAATAAAAGCAAAAATAATCCAGAAGATTATAATAATTTAAGAAATGTGACGACTATAATAAAAACACTGGAAGTAATGAAAAGATCTAATTTTTCATTTTACAATGCATAGACTTCTCCACAATGGCTCAAATTTTTTTGTCTGCGATTGGGCCAACCCAAGCTTTCAGACCATTTCTCTTTCCTCAGTAATATACTTTGATCATCCCAAAGTCAAAGCCACCTAAGTAAATCCCAGTTATCTGCCCTTTTCACTCATATTTCAGGACCAGATTCATAGCTTCCCTGTTATTCTTAGCCCATGCAGGACTGATTTAATTTCCAAAATGATGGTTTGCTTAGCATTCTAAACTTCCAATTTATTTTTCTGTCCACCTTAAATATCTCCTCTCATCCAAAAAAAAAAAAAAATGACACCAGATAAGAATAAATTTTGCTCAAGCTATTGTAATAGGGATCCAGAGAGGAGAGAGATTGAACTGACTTCCTCTGGAACAGAATGTGGGGAAGTCATTTTCCACAACCTAGTGGAAAAGCAGTAGAGGATATGGGGATGGTAGTGGATCTTGGTAAAGGTGATTAGCCAACCTGTGACTGCTGATCGGCACTTGCCAAAACGTGGCTCCTTCTCTCACACAGACCCGAGAAGACAGAGACTATCTTTCTTGATGATAACATTTCAAAGGAATGGCTTCTAGATCTTTCAGAAACATTTCTGGGTTATAAATCCAGCACAAGTGTACAAGAAAATGTACATGTCTAAAATGTAAAGAATGCACAAAGGCAAGTTTTGTAAAAAGTATTGCCTTTAGAAAGAACAAATCAGAGGATGCAATTGTGCAAAAAACCTGTCTCTATTTTAATCAAACTAAGTGAAAAGGTTCTCTTAGTCACTTTGTTGTGAGTATAATTACAGTGAAAGGCATCTAAAGTGACTGTGCATTAAGGTGGCCGGTTAGATCAGTGTGATGATATCGTATGAGACAGGACATGATGAAGCGGAGGATGTACTCCAAAAAGCAGAACTTAGTTATAGGTGAAAGGAACTGTACTCCATGCAAAGCCTGATAGCTTCACAACGTTTCTTGAAAGTTTGCAGACACCTTGTACTTTCATGATTTCTTTCTTTATTATGCTTCCTTCCTCTGGAAATTCTAACATGGCAGCCTTGCTTTCAAATTGCATGTTCATTGTGAGCCACAGCTCTGCAGCTATGAAGCCTGAAAACATGGTGCCCATCTACTATTTATCAACTTGAAAAGCCCCTTTTGTAATTTATTTATTTGGGTTTTTTTTGTTTGTTTGGTACCAGGGATCAAACTTGGGACCTTGCGCTTGCGAGGCAGGCAGCAGCACCACTGAGCTAAATCCCCGGCCCAGAGAAACCCTTTTTGGTATAGTAGGATAAGTAGCTGAATAAAGAATCTAATTCCTTACTTCCCTGTATTTATTAATGAATCTTTAGGAATGTCACCTGTTAGTATGTATTCTTGCTTCAGTGATACTAGAAGTTAAAACCAAGGCAACAGAGTGGATATATAGAAACAGATTTGAATTGAAGAGTGTAAGAAAATGGAGAGGCAACTTTAGCTTGAGAACTTTAACACAGAAGATCAGGACAGTGTCCTAACAACAAAGGAGAGAGGCCAGCTTTTATGGGATTGTTGATGTTGGCTAAGATCCAATTAATCATTTTCTCAGTTCTGTGTTTGTAGCTCTGGAGAAGTCCTTATGGTTTGAAGAGTCAATACAGTCTTCAGGAGATGATTGAGATGATCATTTTTGTTTGAGGGAAAGTTTTGGTTTTGCAGCAGCTCTGCTAGCATCCAAGGTGACTGCAGATTCAGAGAAATGACTGGAAACTTTCAGGTGCCCATTCCAGGGGATTAACATTGAAGGTGAATGTCCCTGAGAATCTTTTATCTTGATGTCCTCGGTCTCAATGGGACATGAGATAGGTTATGTAAATTTAGGTGAGGTAAAACTTGTAGTATCAGTTTTTAGATATTCCCTAAATGTCAAATATGCCTATATGCAGAAGAAAAGCAGGAAATGCCCATATGATTTCAGAGGTTTCAGATCATGAACAGCTGGCTCCAAGGCAGAATTGTGTGGCAGAGCAAAGCTGCTCAGTACATGGTGGCTCCAAAGTGGAGGGGGTGAGCAGAGAGGAAGGGGCCACCGGGAATACTTCCTAAGGTCCAGTCTCCACCATCCATGCAGACACACCCAAAAGTGAGAACCAGCAATCCCCTAGGCAGCTCCCAAGCCAATCGAGTTGACAATTAAACTTATTCACCACAGCAAGCTTTATCCCATTGTTAGTTAGCAACTGGGTATGTAAAAGCTCAAATGAAGAGCTGCTGTTTTTTATTCCCTGTGTATTTTTCAAGACAGCACACATCATGACTTTAATGAGTAACAGGTTAAGGGCCCAGCAGTGAGGTTTCTTTCTCATCTAGTTTATTCTTGGACATGCTGTGGCAAAAGCTTCCTGGCTATAACGATGGACCTGGTTTCTGAGGTCATGAGCTTGTTCGGAGGTAGGGAAGAATGTGTACGGTACTTTTAATCAGCACCAGGTCCGGAGTTAAAGCCCAGGAATGTAGCTGCCCTTTGTCCTTACGGTTGTCTCAACTATCTCAGGAAGGGAGGCAATTTGAGAGGAAGAGTCCAGGCTTCATCAAGCACTGCTACGTGTTTTCCAATTTTAGTTAAAATCACTCTCTGCTCCTCTCAAGGAAAATGCTTGCACATTGGTTTTAATCTTCAAGTAACAGATCCTCCCTACCTCAGAGTACTAACTTTACTAATCTTCAAATACATTCTTTCCAGACTGCGACAAAGACATGCTGATTGACATTCTGACACAGCGCAGCAATGCACAGAGACTGATGATTGCAGAGGCATACCAGAGCATGTACGGCCAGGTAAGGACTTTCTACGTCGACCTGTTTCAAGGACAAACTCCTGAGCACTAACAATACTCTCAGGGAACCGGAACAGTTATATTTGTCAATCTTTCCGATCACAAAGATTTCAGAGCTCACTATATGATAAATATAGTCCATAGCTTCTTACCTATTTCAAGCAATATAAATATAAATATTGTGTGTGTGTGTGTGTGTGTGTGTGTGTGTAAGGTGCATTCATAATTACAGTGACCAAATCATACAACATGTCAAAAAGAAAATATTTGATAACCAAACACCACTAGTGGGTCCAATTAGGCTAAAAGTGAAGTGTTGTGCTGCAAACACCTACTTGCCAACCTGTAGGGAAAAGGACTAATGATCACCAGATCAAAAAGTAACATTTGTCCCAAGAATTCACTGCAGGTCCTCGCCTGACTCCACCAGAGTGAATTCTCCCCTAGCTTTTTTCTCAACAGAGGGCAGTTATAGAGACTATTAAAAAAAAGAAAGGCAGTTTAAAAATAGCTCAAGGCAATAAAACTATCCATAGTATTTTAAAGTAATCACATTCTAATTCCAAAGCAAGAACCATTAAATATTCCTTGCTTTTGTTATGCATTTAAACCACAAATTCAGAACAAAAATTCTTCAGGCCAAAAGGACCTGAAATAGCAATTATTTTGTCAACTGAGCATTATCGATTAAACACTATCATAAAACTTTCTTTATAGAGTTTGTCCATATAAATTTACTCCATCCCAAATCCTCAGTCTCTGAATTATAACACATGAAATAAGATAGTCTTCTGTTTTAGAGTGAATTATAATACAAAAAACCACTACTAGTGGTTACATTCATTTAATTACACTCTAAAAGGAGACCAGTTAAGCCATTTTTTCCACATAAAACTGTTAGCTTATGTTCTTATGACTTCAACATTTCGTTTTCTTTAAAAAGAGAATGAAAATTTATAAAAGATGTATTGTTGATACTCTAATATGCTTTTTAATATGCATAGCACTAAAGGAGATTTTTTTCGGTAAAGTTGTTAACTCAAAGGTTTACATATATCTTTGCTATTACATATCTCATTAATTTAGGTAAAGCATTACTTTATCAGGCTCTATAAAACTAAGCTAAGGCAGCTTTAAAATAATTAAGAAATGAAGTACTTGCACTCAAGGGATTTAAAATCCATTAAAGAACTTGTACTGGAATGAAGCCCTTTTTACTCTATACATAAGGTCTCAGAGTTTGTTAAGCCCCACTTTTACTGAATAATCCACATGTACTGGAAAAACTTAGCTGATCATTAAATCGCAGACTGGAAGACAGGAAGGCATGCTTTCCTCAGTGCTCTGAAATACCCTTTTATTCAATCAATCATCAATAATTATGCGCCCGCTCACATTTCTCTCCTGTTCCTCACTTATCCAAGCTTGATTAGAATCTTCATCCTTTCATGCCCACGCTAATGCAATTCCTCACCGGCCCCTGTGACCCCTAGTCCCGCCTACTCCAGTTCATTATCCAAACTGAAATCAGAACAAGCCAAATATTTAATTTGAATATGTGAGTTTGCCATGTTAGTACCTACAAGTGTACCCCATTCCTCCCTCATAGACATCCGTATGCCCATGGAGCAAACCCAAACGCCTCCCCAGGGCAGGTAAGCCTTGCTGCCCTCATCCCTGATCTGCATCTTTATCTATGTCTTCCTTTCTCACATACCTTCAGCCACAGCCCAGTGGAAGTATTCACAGTTCTCCAAAGTAACCCGCTTCCTCCTTTTGGTCTTGGTGCCCCATGGTGCTGTGCTCAATGCTTGACTTTCCATTCCTCAGGCTGTACACCTGTCATCTTCCCAGACAACGGACATTGCAATGGCTCCACCGTCCTCATCTCCAGTGGGCCAGATGTGTGCTATTAATGCACACTTTCTGCAACTTCCTTACAGTACCTAATGACACATCCTTGAGCTTGTTTGAGTGTTTTTCCCATTGCCAGAGTCCCAAAATGAGAATATCAGGCATGAGAGTCATAAGGCTTCTGCAGATCAAGCATTCAACTTCTAGAAGACTAAAGAGCAAACCAATAGCTATTTTTCAAAACTGATATGCTGGGAAGTTGTATCAGGAAGACAAGTTTTAATCACCAAGAGGCTATTTTGCTTGCCAGAGTTTCCCATGAGCAAACTATCTGTCAGAGAGACTTGTAGCTAAAACTGATAACTAGCATTATGGGGCACATAGTAGGACAGCTTCCTTACATGTGCCTCTTTCCCAGAGAAGAGCATTCCTTCTGGTAGTTATAAGCACCTACAGAAGCAATAAATAAACCCGATGCAACTCAACATTGAAAATTACAGTAATGGTACAGGACAGTCAATGAGCCCAAAGGCCTCCAAACATAAAAACAATCCTCTAACTGCTTCTGTGCTTCAAAACCTGTTCAAGCCCATCATATGAACTTGGGTGTACTTATACGAATCGGCCCATATCAAAACTTTGACTTGGGCATCTGTAGCCAATGAATGCATAAAAACTTGAATCCATCTGTTCCTCCAGGTAATTCACCCTAGTCAGGCAAGTGTGTGCGTGTGTGTCCTTTGGGCACAGTGCAGAATCAGTATAGGAAGACCTTGGATCTTGACTGTGCACATTTGTTGCTAGTTGCTATTTTCCTGAAAGTAGAATTTAGGATGAAAGGAAGGGAAAGATGGAGGCATAAAGGAAAGAGCAAGGCTGTATCAGTACCAAGACATTTATTTCCCATGTCAAAGTTGGGCACATCCTTATCCAATGAACTTCCATTATTTTGGGGCTATGCAAAGTCCTATCTCAGGTAGCAAGTTCATCATTCAACACCAGATATCTCAACTTTGTGGAATCTTGAATCTGTGATGAATTTTAGCTGGTCACAGATAAGGTCAGTTGTTCCCTTTATCTGACTTGGCAATTTTTTAAAGAGTTTCTAGTTAGAATAGACTTTATGGTATTAATAGACTTGGAAGACTGAATGAAAAGGCCAAACTTTTGTCTCAAAAGACTTAGAGAAGGAAAAAAAATGTAAACAGTGACAGAGAAACGTGCAGTTCACATTACTCTGGGCATTTTTGGTCATTTTTAAAGAAATTTCTTCAACTTATTAATTTCATTGTCAATCTCATATTTATGCATATTAATTCTGTTTTTTGCAAAGCCTACATAACTATTCTGGAATTTTTTTCTAAGTGTGTATCATAACATTTTTATTGTGAAACTTTTAAAATGTGGCAGAGCAGAAATGTTCATTTTATGGCTCACAAACAAAAAGAAAAAGCCAGGTCTCAGCCTCTCCTACGAACAAATACCCCAAGTGATGTAAGGATCTCTCACTGAGCTCTAACCCCTCACACCCTCACAGTTTCCACCACAACCCAGCAGCATCAACCTGAAGATGGAGCACTAAACACATCGGCCTCAGGAGACACTGAAGGCCCGAGCCATAGCAGCTCTGCATTACTGTTTCTCTAGAAGACCACAGCATTATCATTATTTTCAGACAGATGGACAACTCAAATTTCCACCGAAACCTGAATCATTATTTAAAATGTGGAAGCACCTATCGAAGGAAATTCTTTGAAGAAATATTCACCACTCCAAACAACTCATACAAATGTTTTTGCAAGTTAACATAAAATTGTGCAAATATTTACAGGGTAACTGCTGGAGGGGACAGAATTAGGACAAATTCTAAGTCCCACTTTACCTGGGTTTGCATTATTGAGTGTTTAAACGAGTGTCATTATTTACGATAATAGAAAAAATATATATATAAGTTAAAAGCATAGGAAACAGCTCCCCTGAGGATATTCAGGCAAGAAAATGTTAGTCATACTTCTACTTCTTGCCCCTGTTATTCCATAATAATATAAGGGCAAGAGAAATGAGAAAAAAAGAAACTATCATTTTATTTTCAATTGAAATGAAGAGGTCAGAATAGCTGCAAAGTGGCTAATCTGCAGTTTCATCGGCAACAGAACAGAACAATTTGAAAAGCAAAGACTCTTTAGCTTACTGTAAGGCCAAGCTGTGATTCCAGCAGAGCCGGCTGTAGGGCAAATCTTCAGAAAGCAGCAAAGCAAAAGCAGACAGACTGGGAAAAGGACACTCTGAAGGTTGCATCTGAAAAACTATTTATATAACTCCAAGTGAGAATTTAAAACTCCTAATTAGAGACTCTATTTAACTGTTCCCCTTTGAACTTGCTGCAGTTAGTTATTTAAACACATTATTCAATATTTATCTTCCAAACTGAAAGAAATGTCTCCTTCCCAGAGTCCTGATAGTACACTATTCCTGTCACGGTAGCCACCACCACATTTTGCATTGTACCATAACTTTAATTCCTGTATTTCAGTACCTTCTGCTCAAGGAAGCTGCTTAAGGATCTATTTTCTTATCTTTGAATTACCAAGAAAGACTAAAAACAAATAACTGAGTTATAAGTGATCCTGCTCATTACTTTTGCACCAATTTTGTAGGTCTATGTATCAGGCACAATCCTGTGGCCATAGATAAAATAGTCATGGGTGTCACAGGCCAAAATCCCTAACCACAATGGAGCTTACTATCTTCCTGAATGAAAAAGAACATAAACTGATAAAATATGTCACATTGTAAGGTGCTAAGTGCTAGAGAATGCAGAGAGAGCCGGATGAGAAATACAACAAGTGTAGAAGGGCTAAGTATAATTTCAAACAAGGTAAGGAGAGTAAGTTCCACTGAGAAAGCAGGCAGGGCAGTTCATGTGGATACCTCTGCAACAAAGATTTTAGGCACAGCGAATGGCAAAAACAAAGCCCTTAGACAGAAGTGGTATTCCAAGTTTAAGAAGGAGCTCGTTGTAGCAGAAGTGAAGAAATCAGGAGCAAGGAGAGTAGTAGGAGAAGTAGGCAGAGAAGCAAACAAGGTCTTATCATGTGCATTATGCACCACTATAATAATTTATATCTACATGAAATCAAACACCTGGTATTTGCTTTCTTCTGAGATCAACAATGCACACACAAATTATAGTATATTTTGGAATATGGGAGAGGGAAAAAGAACATTTTGGGCAGAGGAATCACTGACCAGATTTGCTTTTTCACTGTCAGATGTGTTGAGAAAACACAAGGTGTGAACAAAGAAGGAAGACTAACTGGGAGGCTATGATGTTAACACAGGAGGGTGATGACTCTGTCTAGACAAGGGTGGTAACAGTGAAAGTGGTGACACCATGTCAGTTTCTGTGTATACAGTCGTGCACTGCTTAAAGACAGGGATATAGTCCAAGAAATGGATCATTGGCTGATCTTGTTGACATATAAAGATCATAAGGTGTATTCTCACAGACTAAGGCAGCTATAATGTCAGTAGGCAATAGGAGTTCTTAATTATATTCTTATGGAACCGTTGCAATATAGTCTATCACTTAATGAAACATCATAATGTGGAGAATGACTGTAGGAATTTACTGTTAACTGGATGTACTAAAAAAATGGAAGAAATGTAATATAAGAGACAAAACCCTGAGGCAAAGAAATAGAAGGAGTCAGAAGGAGAAGGGGAGAGAGAGGAAAAGAATCTAGTAACAGCTTTGCTAACAATTAGACATGTTTGTTTTGCAGTATTTTTAGGGAGGAAAGAAAAGTTTTTAGCATCTGTCCTGTGTCAGAAAACAGTACGGCAATTTCACTTCAGTTAAGTTATTTAATACTTTTACCAGCTCTATGAAGTAAATGATGTTATCTGCTTTACTGAGTGACACAAACTCAGAGGTCAAGCAACTCAGTTGTAACCTCATAGTTAAGCTTTACAGTCAGGATTGCAAGCTACTTTCCACTACATTAGATGATATCTGACATTGTTTCTTCCAAGAAATTATGTTATTTGTTTGATTTTTTTTTGCAAAATTACCATAGATTTACGCACACACAACCACACACACAACCACACACACACACACACACACACACACAAACACAGACCCAAAACAAAATAAAGACATCGCCATCTAGTGTCATTGCTAATCTAAATTTATAATGGAACATACACACATTCAGTATTTGTATACATAAAGAAATTAAAGATACTGCTATAAATATATGGAATGAAAGTAGTGATCAAAGAAATGTGCCTGAAGATTCATTAATGGTTTTTTGCAAAGCTCAACTCATCTGCTTTAATATGGTGTTTATTTTAAAATGTATTCAGTAATTTGTTTATTCTTTTATTTCTTCATATATTCATTTGCATAGTATAATACACTCTATACACATTTTTGTATGCCCAGCAGAGTGCTAGAACTAGATGCTTCATTTAGAAAACTTTGTGAAAAAGGTACATATGCTAACAGGCTTTGAGGGAAAATATATACATATAAAATATTATAGTGTAATCAGACTTTTAAAATACGATAGAGCATAAAAATGTAAAGATATAGCAGTGGTTGCAAATACATAATTAACTTAGGATTACAGGAAGGCTCATGAAACAGGTAAACATTTTAATGTTTTAAAATTCCACCTCCTACCAAGTATCATTGTCTTTTCATAATAAAAAAAAATTGAATTGCTTCATTTGTATTCATACTTTCAATGCAATCAGTGTTGCCAAATTTAAGTGTCCAGAAATTCCTCATTTGCTGGCTATGTGCTACATTCATCACTTCGCTGATGTATCATCAGTGGTTTTCTACAGCCTACATGCTATTAAAAATAATATTCTGACTGTAGGGTCAGAATGCTCAATTTCAAATTTGGCCTCCATTACTGCCTTGTGAAATTACATAGATCTAGCTAATCTGTATAGATTTCTCATCTACATAGAGAGATCACAGTTCCTTGTTCTAAGGGTTGTCATAATGGATTATTACAATTTTTCATATACTCAGAGTATCTTCTTTCAGGTAGGAAGTACTCAATAAATTTTAATGTTTTCATCGTAATACAATTTTTGACCTGATCTGCTCAAATGTCCATTAGGAACTTTGCTCTATGCAGCTGAAGAGAGACTGCAATAACTGACATTGAAGTCTCTCAGAAGAGCTTAGATTTCAAATCCATCCAGTATTTGTGTATGTAAAGCTAACTTGTGTATCTCGTATCCACATTCTCATGGACACGCACCAGTGCTTCCTCTGTCCTTAAACACTGTCTACAATGCATGACCTAAATACACAGTGAGCGTTCAGTTTTTCAAATATGTTACAGAGAAGGACACTCTCCCATAAATCCCCCTCCAACTGCTCCCTCTCTCTCACTTCAAACACACTTGTCCTGACTCTTTCCACCTTCTGAAGCAGTTCTGAAAGTGATCTTTCATGGTCATCTTTACGAGGTATGATCGAAAAACGGTGACTGCTGCTGCCTTGTGCCATCCAAAAGAAAGGCAGCTTTTAGAAACATTAAGGTCAGGGGCTGGGGATTTAGCTCAGTGGTTCTGCCGCCTGCTTGCAAGCGCAAGAACCCTAGTTCTATCCCTGGTACCCCCCCAAAAAAACATTAAGGAGATTCCTCACCCATCTATTCACTGGATCTGGCACCCCATGAATTCTGGCTCTTCCCCAAAGTCAAAATGACTTGATAAACGTTTTTAATTGATTCAGGACATTGAGGCAGCCACAGTAGCACAAATAAAGACATTTGAGAAAGAGGACTTGCAGAACTGCTTCAGAAAGTGGCAAGTAAGGTGGGTTCATTTGAAGGGATGGGGAAGATTTTAAGAGAAGTTAATGGCAATGTATTTTTTACTGTAATAATCTTTTTATTTTACATTTCATTGAATGTTTTGTTCACACCTCATATTTTGGTATCTTCCAAGAATGGTAAATAAAATTAAAATTATGACTATTTTATTGTTATTGCAATAGAAGTTTATTTTCTTGTTTGGTGTCTTATATTTTAATTCTTTCATTGCACAGCCTCTAAAGTAAAATACTACTACATATTTTTAAGAAGAATTGGATACATTTTACACATAACAAAAGATAGTAGCATTTAAACCTCTTTCGGATGCCTTTGTAACCCTACAGTAAATCAGCTTGGAATATAATTTTCTTAAATTCCTTTGTTTACTACAAAAATTGCAAAGCAAAAAATTAAAAAAATAAAAATATCAATTTCATATTTTTATAAGTGTATTCCAAACAGAAAAATCTAGTATGTGTATTTTTCTTTAAGTGTTTCACTTCCAGTATTTTGAATAATGTGGTTAATACTTAATGAAAGATATAAAATTACTTTATCAATTTACATAAGGTGTTTGGCCATAAATAACCAAGACAACTTGCTAAAAGAGATTGGTACAATGATAGAATAAAACAATCAAATGCATTGTTTCTTTAAGGATTGATATTTCATTAAGTCTATGCATGAAAACCAAGACCTTCAAACTGAAATGTTTTCAAGTTTCATCTTTTCTGTATTTTCACAAGGAGTTCAAAAGAGGACTTGGAGTTAAGAGTCCAGGCAAAGAAAATCCGTCTATGTTGGTATGACTACTGTATCCGTAGTCTTTATCACATGGCGTGATTAACTCAGTCATTTTCAAACCCTCAAACCCACTGCCTCATGTAATCCACAGTATGTGTGTGAATTAAAACCAGACTTGTCACTGTGTAAGAAGACATGGAAAAGAAATTTTAAGAGGCCACTTCCTGCAATTACCTCATTGCTTTTGTAAATTTGGTAACTGATATCGTGAAAATGTTTACATTTCCTCCTTAGGACCTGATTGCAAACCTGAAGGAGCAACTTTCTTCTCACTTCAGAGACGTTATGGTTGGTCTCATGTACCCACCACCGTCTTACGATGCACACGAACTCTGGCACGCCATGAAGGTAGTGACCTGACGCAAAATAGCCCCTAATAGGCACAGACTGATATTGCAATGGAGGAGAACTGCCCTACAGTGCTTCTATGTACTCATATAATTAGGGAAAAAGGAGAGAAAATCTAAGCATGAGGGTAACTAACAATTAAAATGTGATCCAGGGAACAGCTTTGTTAACAACTGGGAGTCAACATATTTCTGTGGCCAGGGTCAGCTTGTTCTTATGTTGTACAAATTCAGATATGCTGATCCCATTCCACACTGAGCTACCTGAAGGAAATAGTAAATTAGCTCACAGAGCCATTTAGATTGGTCAGTCCTTGATATGAGTTTGATATTTATATATATACATATATATACATATATACATATATATATATATGGAGTCGATACATTAAAAATCATGTGAATCTCTACAAATTACATATAAAGATTTGGCTCAGAGTTAGAATAGAATTCTAACATAGAGACAAAATATAAATGACATTGTATCTGTTTTTCTGGTTTTAAATTAGTTGTTTACAAAAATGATTGCTTGGTTGTTTTTTGTTGTTGTTGTTGCTGTTGTTGTTGTTGTTTTACTTTGGAACAATTAGAACGATTCATTCTTTACAGAAAAGTCATTTCCATGCAAAAAATTGTTACAGATTTGTTACAGATTTAGTTGTCTGAGCCTTGTATGCTAAATGAGGAGCAGAGTTTCCTTCAGATAATGCCATCTGGGATAGTTAGTAAATGGCAGAGCCATAACTAAAATTGGATTCATCTTTGTCCCCAGTAAACTTCCTTTCTCCTTTGTCATCTCAAAGAACACCAAAAATACTTTATTTCTTTGTTGTACATAAGGCTATTATTCCGAGTAAAAATGTCCTTACATTTGTCTCTGTCATTCTAGGGAGCAGGCACTGATGAGAATTGCCTCATTGATATATTGGCTTCGAGAACAAATGCAGAAATATTTCAGATGCGAGAAGCTTACTGCTTGCGTAAGGATGTGTATTGTGTAATGTACACATGTGAACTTCAGATTTTTTAAACAATACATAAAAATATTCCATTTTATGTATTCCAAATAATTTTCTAAGACACTCAAATTGGAAATTTGACTACTAGAGGAGAAACTGTGGTTGCCAGAGGCCAAAAAGAGTAGATGGAAGGAAGATGAGGAAAGGTTTGACAACTGGTCCACTGTTGCATCAGGGGGAATAAATTGTAATATTCTATTTCATAGAAGGTTCACTATTGTTGATAATAATGCATTGACTATTCAAAATAGTTATGTGAATGGGTTTTGAAAACACTATAAAGAAATGACGTCAGTCTGAGATGATAAATGTGCTAATTACTTAGATTTGGTCATTACACAATATACTCATAGATTGAAAAATCACAGTATTAGTCAGCTTTCCCATCTGTGAGACACAATAACAGAAACCCATAATTTAAGGAGATGTTTAATTTGGTTCAGTTTCAGGGAATTCAGTCCATGGTCAGCCAACTTCAAGGTCGAAATAACACAGTAGAAGGAGTAAAGCTGCTTAGTTCATGGTGGTCCTTTAGCAGAGCAGGGCAGTAGTGCCAGAGAGGGACAAGGTACGCACCCGAATCCCGTCTCCATGACGCACCCAGACACGCCCCCAGGTGAGCTTTACCAATCCCTAGCTGACTCCCGAGCCAATTGATTTAATCAGTTTTCTCATCGCAGGGATGAAATACCTGACACTTACATTTAAAGGAGAGATTTATTTGGGCTCACATTTGAGAAATTTCAGTCCTTCCGTGGTTGGCCAGTTTCACGGCGTGATGGCCAGCAGAGGGACATGGCAGAGAGGAGCTGTGAAGAGTGTGGCAGAAAGGAAACACAAGCAGGGGAGGAGCTCAGGAGGGAGAAAAATCTGACAAAGCCACATGCCCACTGACTCATCCCTTCTGACCAGAGCCTTCCTTCTAAAAGCAAATGAACTGTAAACTCCCGTAATCCAGTCGCTTCTGCAAAGCCCTACTCGTAAGAGACGGAGGCTCTTGGAGGACAACTAGATATAAACCATAACACCAATCAAGAGGACACAATGAGCTTGTCTGCCACAATCTAACTGTACCCCATAAATATGTACAATTATTATGTGTCAATCAACATAACAAAAATAACAAAGACAGGATTTTTTAAAACAACACCTTCAAGACGGACTAGCTCATTTAATTAAAATGGAGGATTAGCATACAAAAATGAAATAATTCCATAGAAAATCAAGCAAAATTTTTCACAACTATAAATCCAAGCATCTATAAGGTGAATATTTTCATTGTGACTGGAAATTATCCATCACCTTGTTTCAGGGGACATTTTGTGTCTACCCAGGAAAGACCTGAAGTACAGACAAGATAAAGCAAAGTGCAATCATTTCTCAGTGATTTCTACAAATAGAAGTGCTTCGCTTTGCATGAAATATAGAATCGCTATAATCTACTTCTAAATCAGGTTTTTAGACATTTTGAAAGTAAAAAAATGATAGCTAGTTTCATGTTCAACTAGTTTTTAGGCCTAAAGATCCGTTTCATTATACAACACTGAATGTCAAAAAGTGGTTCCAGGCAGTCACCTGCATTGCGTCTGAACAAAAACAATATTTTCTCAAAGGGATTGAAGTAAGAAACTTCACCTATAATATTAAAATGAGATGAAGGACTTGAGAATGCTACTGGGCTAGCAACAGTATGTGGAAATGGAATGAATACTCCGAATGGCGAGAATCAGAGAATGTAAAGAGACTCCCAGTGTTCTTTTTTTAGTTTAGGAATAAAGATTATTCTTTGGGGCAGCAGACCTTCGTCAATGTAACCACTAGTGAACGGATTTCTTTGGCAGGCAGTTGTGAGTAAAGGCCTGTTAACAGATCAGATGTCTCGTGTTACCTTGACGGCTGGGGCAGTAACACTAACTTAGGCAAAGCACATCGATACGTGGTTCTGTAACAAATCATACTTTTAACATGGATGTTTTGTTGCTCAGAATATAGCACTAACCTTCAGGAAGACATCTACTCAGACACTTCAGGACACTTCAGAGATACTCTCATGAACTTGGTCCAGGTACGGCATTCCAAAATTCATATCATTTTATACTTTTAAAGTGCATAGTTGTCATTCCTAATAGGGCAGAAATCATGAGTTTATTACAGTACAGTTCAACAATAAATCCCATGTAACAACATTTACTGAATATTAATGTGTAAGGCACGCAATTAGAACCTTGACTTGGAGACAGAAAGTAATATGAATACATACCAGTCTCTGAATAAGATTAATTACATTTTTTAAAAATGGCTAAATGGGATGGGGGCTTACAAATTTTCCTGATCCTGCCACTATATGACCAAATATATTTCGCATTCAATAACAAAATACTACCATATAAATACTTTGTAAGCCATTTAGAAGTGAAAAGGAGATACAAAAAAAAAAAGGAAGTTCTGGCTCTCTGATTGTCTAAGGAGATCATAAATCGAAATCCAGAATTTAATTGAATTCTAGAGACTCCAGGAGCCAACACAGGATATCCATGATGCCTTTAAAAGTTACCAAAGAATACCACTTCAAACTAAAGTTAGATTTTTGTCCTTTACCTTGTTTTTCTGTATTGACTAAATAGTATGTAATCACTTCCATTCAATTAATATTTATCGAAATAGTTCATTGATATTAATTGTACAAATTAATGGCTTTCAATTACATTTTCGTAGATGTATATATCATGCTTTGATCGTACACTCCCTACCACCCTGACTTGTCCTTCCCCATTCTCCCTTCGATTAACATTTCCTCTTCAATTAACATGTTAGGATTGTAATAAGAATAATAAGTTAAGGTACAATTATCTTTCATTTTATGCATATTATCAAATATGCCTGTCACCCTATTTAGCAAAGGCATTCAGGAAAGCAGAAAGAGAGTCAGTGTTCAGCCCTTAACAGTTAAAGGCCCACGGGCAGAGAAAATGTCTTAAAACCAGTACTTTGGTTTTGTTTTGTTGTGTGTGCATGTGTGTGTGTGTGTGTGTGTGTGTCTGAAATGAAGAAAGAGTTGTTTCTAAATCCACAAACCTTTCCTTTCCATATCAAAAAACACATCAGACTAATGAGCAAAGAGTTCCACGAAAAACCATAGGTGGATAGATAGTTTTTATATATGAGAATGTGCAATCAAGGAGAGTTTCCGCCGCCCTAAAAGACAGAAGAATAAATGAAAGCTCTTTTAATAGTAATGAAGGTGGAAGACTGGTGCCAACAACAGAAAAAGACACCAAGGAAGGAGAGCTGGGTAGAATTATGTCTTAGGCCCTCAGGAACACGGGGACCTGCGCTGAGTTGAGCAGTTAGAATCATCAGACGAAAATACAAGCTAGACCATTGTGCATTATTTTTTTCTTTTCTTTGAAATACTCCAACTCCCATTGTTTTCATGATTTTTGGATTGTTTTTTAACTCAACCTTTCTGTGTGAACTGGTGACAACCTCTGAGAGTTCCATCTTTGTCCCTTATGTTTTTGTCTTTATCTGTAGCAATGCTATGAGGTTTAACTCCCTTGATGCTCCTATCTCTTTCACAGTTGAGTTTTGGCAAATTTACATGCCTATCAGGCTTTTCATAGCTTAAATAGTCCACTTTCCCTTCACCTGGTTTAGTAGTTTGTTGAAAATAAGCATCCCATAAACCTTAGAGGATTTATTATCTACTTGCTTTCAGTTATATTTTTCTCAAAATGATTTATTCCCATCTGTGCCTTTTTTCTTTTCAAACCTAAAGACAATTGTAGCAGGGCTCTTTTGAACAATAAAACTAGCTGGGTATTGCTGCAAGGACCAGTCATAGAAAACCCTTGTATTCCAAAACCTCTGCAAGTTTCAGATCACGTTGCTTGTATTCTACAAGTGGTTTCCTCTTCAAATTCTTAAAAGCATCAAATTTCTAAACTTTCTTCCTCCTTTCTTTTATTTTTGCTTAAAAATTAGCCAATTATTTGTTGGCCACATCTCTTTCTTGTAATACAAGGCTAGAAAATAAGGTAAATGCCATTTTTCAAGCTCAAATGAAATGTGCTAGTGATAGAAAGCAGCATTTCTTCAAAAAATGGAGTAGATAGTTGTGCTCCTGCAGCCTTCATATCTGACTTTTTAGGTCATCGTGTTTGTGCTCAGTCTCTGGAAGCAGAGAGACAACAGAGAATTATTTGTGGGACTTGTTATCAGTTTTGTGGCAATGCATGTAATTTTGCTCAGATTTCACTTGCTAAACCTCAAATAGCTCTACTAAAATCAAGAATGCCTTCAAAATACGGTCCATCTGTGTTTCTTCAAAAAAGTTGAAACCAGTTTTTCAATTAGCTGTCAGCATGCATCAAACTTACAAAGTTAATTTGAACTGAAAGCTACACCAAAAATGTTAAATGCCCTCTAGATGATCATAAAGATGAAAGTGCCAATTAAAAAGAAAACTCTGAAGACAACTGTATTAGACACAACGAGAATTTCCAAAAGGATAGTAAACATAAGCAAACAAAAACCTAAATTGCTGTTTATTCCTCCTTAAAAGTACTCTAAATAGGGAAATATCTTTGTATTTTTTAATGTGGATTAACACATCATTATTGTGTCTCCATTTCAAATGATCTTTTAAAAGATCAAAATATGTAAGTTTCATGGTTCTACCTTTCATCTTACTTGTAGGATGATGATGTTGATCATATAAACATCAAAAAGAAAATAAAACTACTGAAGGAGAAACAATGTGCTACTTAATTTGAATATATCAAATTTTTATTTAATTAACGCTACTGTGAATAGACTGTGGGATGAATAAGGGCCAAACACGAGGCTCCATTTTGATCTTTGATTTCATATTCTTTATTTCTGGCAAAAAGTATATACAAAAAATCTCATCAAACCTTATGTGGTTTTTTATTGTTCTTGTTGTTTTAAGTTTATTGTTACATTTCAGGTCTATAATACAGTTCCATGCATCACTGGGATCTTGTACCTTTACATGACGCACCTTGGTTCTTATTTTCTCCCCATTCCCCACGCCTTGCTTCACCCCCTTCACCCTTCCCTGTTTACAAAGACATTGTTTCCCTGTTTTTCCTTTTCTCATTTTTTTCTTTTCCTTTTTTACCTTTCCCCTTCCCCTCCCACTTCCTCTACCCTTTTAAACCTTTGCTTCCTATTACACAATATCAATTATGCATTTTGATCCTTATGTATGTGTTTAGTTTTTCACACCAGAGAAACCATTCAGTATTTGCATGGGTGTTTTATTAACTTCACTTAATCAATGTGCATCTACTTAGCTATAAATGTCTCTAGTTTCTTGTTCTTTATGGCTGAGTAGTACTCCATTTTATTAAAGAAACAAAGAATAATTCAGTTTATTCCCAGTCAACACAGATTTTAATTATTATAAATCCTTTGCCCATGTGTATCAATGCACACTCAAGTTGTCTGTTTTGAATTAAGAATACAGAAATTTGCAAAGAGTTGAGGAGGAAGCCAAATATTAACTATCCCATACTGCTCCTGGAAACTTGGATTGCTTATATTCCTTCAAACTGTCAGTTTTTTTTTTAAATGGCATAATCACAAAGCAAATTCATTGATCTTTTAATGAAGTTAAAATTTTAATTTTATTTTAAAAATCAATAATTTCATTTATTGTGTTTGGCTTTGGTTTAGATTCTTTTGGATTTGCTTAGTTTGTTGCACAGTTCATAAAACTGCCTACATCACCAACCTCAATTAGGTCTTATTCTGAGGATTTTAACAGCTAAGATTTAACCTGTGCAAAGAAGATAGTGTGGTTTATTACAGTGTAAATTGAGACATTTGGGTAAGTTACAGTAGGAATAAGGTGATTTTAACTTGTGATAGGAGTTGAAGTCATTTGTAGGAAACACATTTTTAGCAATTAATATTTTAAGATAATCTCACTTGGCAACATATCAGTTGTATATTTCCTAATGTTTACATTGCAGAAATTTGGATTTAATAAAACATTCAATGCAGGAGAACTCTTTTAATTTTAGAGTATGATGGAAGATGATACAAACAGAAACACCAGTTTCCACTCACACATTCTTCTTAACATATTCTGCCCCTAGTAGAGTAAAGCCCACTGTTCCATTATAAATCCATGAGCTGCTTCCTGATATCAAACAAGCTTTCTGAAAATATATAAATAGAAATTTATTTCATTGAATAGAGATGTAAATTTTCTAGTAGGAAGACAGTTCTCTTCCAGGACTAATTGTATTGTCAGGATTACCTCTCTGCCAGTTTTCCTCTCTTTCAAATATTACTTCCAGTCCTGCTTACTCCTGCAGTTGATCTCAAACTCACTCGATAATAAATAGGCTATAGCAAAAATAAATAACAAGGCTGAAAAATCTATGAACTGTGCTTTAACCTTATTCATAATTGCAGCTTATTTTTTAAATTAAATGTGATGCTTTATTATTGAAAATGTATTCATGTATATAATAGTTTTATCTGTGTAAACACACATGATTTAAAATGACATGGAACAATTTATTTTATCGCTGGGTTTCATTTCATTTGGAATATGAATTGACAAGATAAAATACTACTTCTCAAGTTTGATTAATAGAATTGAAATATAAAGAGTTGAGTGTGTGTGTGTGTGTGTGTGTGTGTGCTTAAGCTGGACATAGCTTTAAAGTGTAGTAAAACTATCTATTCCACATAGAATACCAAACAATAAGGGTGAATTAAGACTTAGGTGTTTTTTCAGAAATCAAGGAAAATTATGTAAATTATCTCACTTTGAAAAATTTAATTCTTAATTGAAAATTATTTAAATTTACTTAACATTATTTACTTTTTTAATTTTTAATTTTCTATGCTTCTTTTCATTAATATTATATACTTATAATGCTTACTTTAACATTGTGTTCTTATAAAGTTTCACAGTACATATTCCTTAAAATGCAAAACTGACAAGAATACAATAAGACATATTCATAGATTAACTCAGAATATACAGGTAACAAGCTTATAAATGATAATATAATCTCATTTTAAAAGATTTTTGAAAATCAGAATTTCCATGATAATTCAAACTGCCTATCGAAATATATGATCTCTCCTGATTCCTCTTAGGTTTATAAATATTTTGAAAGTTTTTATTTTATTTAATGACTTCTACATTAATGAGTGCTTGGTTTAGATTGCCAGGTTTAGGATTTTGATCAGTAAATTTAAAAGATGAAAAAAAAGCATAAAGTAAATTAGGGAATTAAAAAATTCTAACACTTCTCTTGATCATGGACTGCAGTGTCAACCATTCCAAGTGTATGTCCAGATAGTTTATTAAAAATGGAATTTCTTGCTAAAGAATTGTGAAATTTTGAGCTAATGAGTTAATCAAGTAATTGTGGGGGAATTCTGTGTGATCAGATCTCTCCTGCCCTTTTCTCTCCCACCCTCTGCTGGTATTTATGCGTTCTCTCTCTCTCTCTCTCTCTCTCTCTCTCTCTCTCTCTCTCTCTCTCTCTCTCTCTCTCTCTCTCTCTCTCTCCCCCCCCCCCTTCTCTCGCTCTCTCTCTGTCTCCCTCCCCCCTCCAGATATAGATTTAGATATGATAATTTTTTTTTTTTTGCTTTGGCTCTGTGTGGTTCAGTTGTATGTCCTTAGATTCATCATGCAATCTTCTTGAAATATAGGGTTTTGCTTTGTGAATTAAAGCATGTGAACTCATTCTCCTCTCACTTCCTTCACGATACATATATTCTCTGCGTCCGTGTCCATCTTTATATTCAGAATCAAAGGCAATTTGTAGTTTACATCTATTTTTAATATCATTAAGATTCAGACATGCCCCTGTTTGTGAGTTAATGAAGTTTGGAGGAATTGGAGCATAGAAGCTTTAAGGTGTTCATGAAATAGAAAGTGTTGAAGATTATTATCATATTTCCTAGGAGGGAAGACCCTTTACTTAATCTACACAGGGTTTTCTGGCAGGACTATTTCTAATAAGAAAGCAACTGAGCTGGAACACGTTACTCTTGAAAAGTGATGCCAGTCATTAAACTGGCTCTTAACACTTCCTGCATACTTTTATTGTACTAGATTTATGGAAGATCTAATTATCTGTCAAATAATAAAAAAGTAGTCACTTGGAAATTAATTAATCAATATGTACAAATCACACTAGGTTGATAAATGTTTTACAGAGAGAAAGAATGGAAACCACCCAACTGGATGCTCACTCATCACCTTAGCTTTTAGGATTTTCCTGAGGACATATTCCCTAACCTTGTAGTAAAACCTAAGGAGAAGTCACAGCCATCAGGTTTCAGTTATTGTCTGTGGTCAATTTATTGGCTCGAATATTTTCGACCACATTTAGTCCTCATGATCTCTTCCCTTCAAACTTTGATCTTGCTCAAATTCTGTACTCCTTTATGTCATTTGTCTGGTGTTGACGCCGACTTTGGATACCTTGCTACTTTCTCACCCTCTTTTATATAACAAAGTGAACTTGCTTATCGACACTGTTTTGTCCCACAATTCTGCTTCACGTGCTCTTAGTAATTAACCACAAAAAAAATAGACAGAGGGTCACCATTTTTAAAATTAAATGTCCAAGAATATTATCTTTCCACACAAGATAGCCGATGGGTTGAACTGCATAAAATATTAAGTGTTTCTCACAAACTTTGCAAGGGTAGCAAATTACTTAGTTTATATAGTTAGATCTCTCAGAGATCACTAAGAAAATATAAATGATCCAGAAAATCTTCCCCATCTGCTAACTAATATTTGAAGTTTGCTATCTACAAGTTTTTTATTCTCTTTTCCAAAAATATTTCTAAAATGCCTATAAAATGCAAAGCATGATTTTTGACAACTGGGAATTATCCATGAACAAAAGAAATGAAGAGCCCAGGCCTTCTAAGATTTATATCCAGCAAGGTGACATGGACAATTAAACATAATGCTAATAAACAGGTACATTAAATAAAATTTTATAAGATGGTGAAAATATTGCAAAGCAGGATATGGAAAATAGGAACGTTATTCCTGTACAGCGTGTGTAGGTTGCAACATTACATTATTGGTCTCACTGAGAGGAGATTTAAGCAAAGATATGAATGAAAGAGTCAATCAACAAATGAATAGATGGACTAAGATATTCCAAAATATATGGCAAAGTGTAACACTAGAGCAAAGAGTCTAAGGCCAGAGGCAGCTAATGGGTATCAGGAATCACAAGGAGCCAGTTGCTGTTGTTTGAGAAAGCAAGGGAGATGCACCATCGTGGAAGATGGTCACAGGCTTAGAGGAGGGCAAAGGAACAAGGGGCAAGATTACATGTGGGTCTGCAGAGCTTGTAAAGACTCCGGCTTTTATTGAGTAAAATAGGGAGAGGCATGGTTTCACTGAGTTTTGAGCAAAAGGAGGCTGCAGTGCTATGGTTTAAAAATATTCACAGTAGACCCTATATTGAGAAAAGACTGCAGGGCCAAGGAGGCCTTGGCAGCCACAAAGCCACAATGTGATGTTCGCTTGGGTCTCCCAATAAGAACATTGGCAGTGGCAAAGAATGCCCAGATTCTGGGTGTGTTTTGAACATAGATTATTTCCCGAGGAATTAGATGCAATATATATGAAATAAAATAAATGATTCAAAAATGGGTTAAAAATTAAGATGTAGAACACAGAGTATATAGGGTGTTACTGAGGAGGACGGAGACTAGGAGTTGGATTTTCAACATGTGGAATTTATGAGAAAATCAAGGGATGCTGCTGAGCTAACAGTGGGAATATATTCCTTTCAGATTCAGATAATGGAGTTCAGTAAATGTGGGTATCATGGCAATATAAACAGAATTTAGAGCAACATCGAGAATATTATCAGGAGGGGTATAAATATGGACAAGCTGACAAACTACGTAGTCCGTCCCAAAAGGGGCCTTCTAAAATTAAGATATTGGAAAGGAAGAGAAGTCATTTCACAAGATTGAGAAGTTTGCATTGAAACAGAAGAAAACAAAAAGAAAGAGAGGGAATGCATGGCCCTGAACGTAAAGCGAGGCAAATAGAGCAAGGAGAAGAGAGTGTCAGTTCTATCCAAGCTAACAGATACATCAAATAAGGTGAAGGACGGGCCTTACCGTGGGAAACTCAGGAAATGTGTGGTATATATTCACTGAAGTTGGAACACATGAATTTGTTTAAGTTGTATTCTGATCACATACTTCCCCTATATCTTTCTCTTACTTGAGTAATACTCAGTGGTCAGTGGGTCTTGCGTTGGCTAGTGCTCCTTCCCTTTGTTTGAAATGGTTAAGTAGACTATGTCTGTTCTTTATACAGTAAAGGGGCAAGAGTTAAAACAGATTCGCAAAATATTCTAATCCACAAAATCTGGATTTCATTTTCTTTTGTCATTGCGTAAATCCTACTTTCTGAGCCCGATATTTTGTGTCTTTGCATTTTCTCTCTAACAATGCTAAATCCTACTGCCAGGAGTAGATCTTTAGTCTGGTAAGGGAGAAGATACCACATAGAGAACTGAAAAAGTAGAAAAAGCCTTGTCTGAGTTGTTTTTCTTTGCTGAGACAAAATACCTGACACCCAAATTTAAAGGAGGAAAAGGTGAATGCAGTTCACAATTGTAGAGGTTTCAGTCCATAATAGGCTGGCTCTAAGGCAGAATGGCATGGCAGAGGGACATCACAGAGTAGAAACAGTTCATGGTAAGCAGAAAGCAGCAAGAGCAGCAAGCAGCAAGCAAAATATTATTTCTGTCCCTTTCTATTCTATTCAGTAGCACTAACATCTAAAGTGGACCTCCTTGAAATCTACACCCAGAACTATGCCGAACCAATCAACGGACTATGTTAGTAATCACACACCCTTAAACAAGCATCAAAAACTCTAGATCCAGCCACCTCTGCAAAGCCCCACCTATTACCAAATGAGGCTTTGGGAGGACATCTAGACATAAGCCATAACATACCTAAATGCATTTCAAAGGTCAACATTATTGCAAAGAAAAAGAAAAGTAAAATGAGCCCATAATAAAAATACTCCATATAATATTTTCTAATGTACTGAAAAAATAGAAACTCTTATTGCAAATAATGATAGAACTTTTTCAAGAATGACCAGAGTGTTTGGTGGCTCTGGGATTTTTATCTCAATAATTTTATGTAGGTTGTCAAGAATATTTATATTCTGGTATATGCTTGTTTTGCAGGGAAGCAGGCAGGAAGGATACAGTGACCCAGCTATGGCTGCACAGGATGCAATGGTAACTAGAATCAGTTTCCAGCTGACTCTAAAGAACATTTCTTAGAGTGGCCAGAGGATTCTGATGCTCCTTCCTGGCTCTCCGCTCTTCCAGGTCCTGTGGGAAGCCTGCCAGCAGAAGACAGGGGAACACAAGACCATGCTGCAAATGATCCTGTGCAACAAGAGCTACCAGCAGCTCTGGCTGGGTAACTGGGAGCTAGCTTTCTTTCCAGCTACTTAACTGATCCTATAAAAAAGCAATTTGTAAATGAGAGAGGAAAAGGAAAATATGACACAGAAATGGAGGGATTATCTCCAAGACACTCAGATTAAATTAAAGATAGGCCTCATTTCAGGACATTAATAAACAATAAAGTTTTTCCTATACTTTTATTTTTCTAATAATTAAATTGATAGCTTTTAAATACTGAGACTTTTTAAAAATAATCACTGTTTTGAGATATATTAACTATTTGCTATTAGGTAGATCAGATTTTATGTTGTCTTGAAAAGTATCTAGTGTGCTTTGTGGAGTCATTATGTAATGAGCCAAGGTCATTCTTATTAACATGATTTATGTGAGATCAACAGTGTCATATTGGTTTTAGAAATACATTTAGTTTGTACTTTGACTGTTTCCAAACTACTGTAATTTTCTTTTTCTCTTATTAGAATACTTTTAAATTTAAAAGACAAAATTCTGTAAAAATTTTTAGCCTACCTTTTTAGCCTACCTTAATCCAACTGCCACTTCTATACGCAGTAGGCCAATTAGAGGTGATAATAATAATTACAATAATAATAGGACACCTCCTTGCTTCTCACTTGCTGTAAAAATATATGTGAACTCAAAGTTGCCTAGAATAACCAGTTCGGTAATTTCTTGAAATAAAGAAGCTTAATTTAGCATACTTCTAAGTTAGTAAACTCTAGACTATGCCTTAAAGGTGTTTTCATATTTCTCAGCATATATACCATAGATTTTATGAACACTACTTTAGTCATCAGGAGTTTTTTCACAGTTAATTTTCGTACTTAAGCTGTAGCAGAACTATGCTTTGGAGTGAATCTAATTCTATACCCTAAATAAATGGCTCAGAAGTAATGGCTGCTCATGGGTTTGCCCTTAATTTAAACCAGCAATGCCAATGATTCCCACTAGAGGGCACCATTATTGTGCAGGAAAGGAAGCAACAGCGTTTCTCTGAAGTCTGAGATTTATGTCATCTCTGCTAATTTAGAGTATTTGTCTTTTGCATGTGTTTCAATGAACAGATATAGCACTACAAATAACAGTATATTCAATTATTTTAGAGAAACTATCTTTGCTATGTCTAGCAATCTCATCGATATTTTATTTTAAATTTATACTATTTACAAAATCTCCTCTGACTTACATCAATTCATTGAAGTTTTCCAGCAATTTCAAAGTATTTCTGGTCAAGACCTGGTAGATGCAATTAATGACTGCTACGACGGATTTTTTCAGCAGCTGCTGGTAGCGATTGGTAAGCACCAACTTCCGCGCGTGAAGCAGACCTATCACCGCACAGCACATGAGTGAACTTTGAATTGAGTCATTTTCCTCTAAATTCAATTTTGTATTCAATTTTTAAACTGTGGGAGAAAAGTGTGTCAGCTACCGATGCATGCACCACACTGGCCTCCTGGTGGCTTTAATGAGCTGGCAAACTGAATAGCTGGCTCAACTTTCAGACTAGGAAGATAATTCTCAGTTTTTTGTTTTGGGGGATGGTTTTGTTCCTTTTTGTTTTGTATCATTGTTTCTACCCTTAATAAATTTGTCTCTGAGAGTAAATCTTACCATAAAAGAGACTCACCACATTGATGTTTTAGTGCTTTCCGAATGGTATTGTGAGAAGGGCACATCTCCACTCCTTCTTAAGTAAGAAAAGATCTTCCCATAATGGAAAAAAACAATGGTAGTTATTAATAAAAGCTATTAAGGATCCATTCATGCTTTATCTTGTCAGGCACTGTAGGCACTGTGACAGGATCACGTGTTTCAGGGACTGTCCGTGCGAACTCATTGTGCATATCCCCACAGTCGCTATCCATAAGTAATCCCTTAGTTGCATGTTGAAGAAATGAATGTTGTGATTTTTCCATTCCTAGAATGGCATAGACACATACAGGAATGGGAGCTGTGAGATTATTAGAATTTTTGTAGTTTATCCATTCAAGAAGTTTTAAGGTTTATCCATTGAAATGGTTGGGTGGTTTCCATGAAACACCTACAATAGTGGATAAGATAGTTTATGCTTTATGTCTGTGCATTCTTCTGAATACAAGGTGGATAAATTCTATCAGATTCTCAATAAAATTTTATAGCTATATAGTGCATTTAAAAAAAACTCTCATTTTACACACAAGACCTAAACAGCTCACATGACTTCCGTAATGTTTATCTGCTGATTAGCAACAAAGTTATGAATGGAACTTTACATCCAAGTCTCACGATATCATACTTTCCCTTTTAGACTATAGCCACAAAACAGTGGCAAGAGAAAAGAAATAGTAAACACCCAAGGTACCTGGAAACATCTGAGCTGGTTCATTCAGTCAATCAATAAACATCTATTGAGCAACTACTATTCTGGTCACCAATTTAAGTACTGCAGATGGAACAGCAAAACAATACAAGGAAAGCAAACAAATTCCCTGCCTCAGGAAACTTACCTTTAGTAGTGACTCAAGAGTGGTTATCAGGTTCACTTCTCTTTGTATTAAAAATACGAAAAAGATGAGCATGTGGTCTTACAATTTGAAATAATTACTTGAAATACAAAGAAATTAGTGCTGTGATTATTTTATTTTGGCTAGATATTATAGAATCACACATATTTCTCATTCATGGGGTAATCTCTTTACCTATTCAAATAAACACCACTGAATGCTGACAATAAACTGATTTTCCTAAGGGAAACTTGCTCCAGCGCTAGGGCATGGGCTAGAGTCTCAGCTATTCAAAGTTACATTGGTTTTTATTGGATGACTTAAAGGCCAGTTGTGGACCGCACAGTTTCTCCTTAGATGACGTGGGATCTGCCCAAATCTATAAGAAATCTGAAGCCTTTTAAGAAGAAACTGGCCTAGGCCAGTTTAACACATCATCTGGATGCTTGGAATTCAGCCAGAGCAGTGAATCATATGTGATCTATGTTATATTAAGTTCTACAATAATAAAAAGAGACAATGACATTAATGTAGGTTTCATCAAGGCACTAATCTTCAGATAAAGAAAATAAAGGTCTTCACATTATCTAACAGGTCTCCAAGAGATAGAGAATAAGATAAAATGAAAAATGAATCATAAATTTTTTGGCTTTAACTTTTTGATGGTCCATAGAATTACCCATATTGTAAGTACTGAAAGTATAATGTGAATATTATACAGAAAAGCCTTCTCCTTGTTTCTAAAATTCTGGAAAAATTATATCATCTCATTGAAGTTTCTTTTCTCTCTGATCTCTCCTAGTTCTCTGTGTTCGAGACAAGCCTGCCTATTTTGCTTATAGACTGTATAGCGCAATCCATGTAAGTGAGATGATATAGTTGTAAGATTTCTTTAGAAAATAGATCCATTTTCTCAAAGAACTGATTTTACTTCCATTATTTGAAGATTTACTCCTTTATCTTTTGAAGTTATATATAAATATGCAAATTTCAAAGAAATTATGCCCAAGTTAAAAAAATTATGGGATACACTAAAAGTAAGGTCTATCAAATAAAAATAATATGTGCTTTCTTCATCCAATTTAGGAAACTAAGAAGTATGATTCTTTGGATTCTATCTCCCTTGTGTCCTTTAGAGCCCCTTAGCAATTACAGAAACTGGCAAATCCAAATGTTTTTGTGTTTTTCTGAAGGCCCGCTCATTGCAAGTACCAGCAGATGGCATCAAGCAGAAAATATCAAAACATGGCACTCAGCAAAACAGAATAAAACAAATGCTATATTTTAGAAGTTTAAAAACACACACTAATGTCGGTGATTATTTTAGGCATAAAGTGTTATTTTTCAAAAAATACTGAGATAGACAACAATAAACTCTAAGCTATTTCTGCAATTAATGAGACTTTTTTCATGCTTAGTGTGATATTTGATCACATCCTCTCGAGCAATCATTTTTAAAGAAACAAACACATTCGGCAGATCATTTACATTTTACTCGTAATATGCATGAAACTTTTTTTTAATAAAAAGAAAGTATCTTCACTACATCATTGTACAGGCCAGCACCTTGAATATTCAAATAAAATTATGGAAAACAATAATTTGATAATTTTAATAATCAGAGTATTTTATCTTCAAAAAAGTAATTTTTCAAGTCACTTTCTTGAAAGCACCAGGATGCAGGGAAATATGCTAATAATCAAGTATATGTATTTGAGAATCTGGGCAAAGAGTGTTTTTTGCTTACGCATAAGAAGAACAAATGTAAACTCAGAAAGAGGAGTGTGACCGAGGCTCACAATCCTCTGCTTTTCTTTTTTTCATATTTCCAAGCAGAAAAGGTTGCTTTCACTAAAAATGTATTCATTTTAAGTAGCAAATAATGTAATGCTATCACATGATTTATCTCCAAAGGATCAGCCATGACAATCACAAAGCTGCACGTTTGAGTGAGCACAGGAAAGTAATCAGAATTACCCTGATTCCAACTACACCCAAATCCAGGATTACTTAAGCTAATAATGACTTAAAATTGGATTCTTCTTCTGTGTGTTGCAAGGGAGAAAGGGAGTTCATAAATGCTTTGAAGGTTTCTGTATTCAAGCAAACACATTTTTTAGATATGAGGATCTTGATTATCAAATATTTGCTGGAAAATTTTTTTGTCACCCCTGACAAAAGAATCTTACTACATTTTCCTCCAAGTGATCTATAGTGTAAAACAGGAAACTTGGTTAGAGGGTTAATTTTAAGCACTTAACAAAAGGAGAAAGAATATGTTAGTAGACTTACATCCCACTCAGACATCCGAAAGTAGTTATGATCACTGGCCAGCAGATGGCACCATGATTCCATTTGACAAGACATTTTGAACCGCTGTTCAGGCAGTTTCTGGAGCTAGAACGTACACATTGATTTTGTGATTTTAATATTTATATTATACTCCTAAATATTTTAAGCACTTTTTGACAATTTTAAAATAACGAACAGACAATATAATACAAAGATAATTGCTCTCGTACTCAGATATCGTTATCTGGATTCAGAGAAAAGACCTCATGATCAGATCTGTGAACTTTCCCTGTAGTGTGAAGGAGAAAGCCTGAAAGCTGGCGAAGCTGGAGAAGGGAGTCAGGATTAAATAATAAGGTCAAGGTCAAGGCCCTCACCCTGGAATGGAAGCTAGAAGAGAATGTTTCAGTGTGAGTCACAGTGAGACAGAGGGAGAAGCCAGGGCGGTGTGTGAACTGCAGCGCGAGTTCCAAGCATGCAGAAGAAAGTTGCCCAGAAAAAGAGACGAACGCAATTGGACAGGTTGATTTAAAATATGCCTTTCTGTTGTTCTTCCTTTTCTGTGTCTTTTAGGATTTTGGTTTCCACAATAAAACAGTAATCAGGATTCTAATTGCCAGAAGTGAAATAGATCTGCTGACCATAAGGAAACGATACAAAGAGAGATATGGAAAATCCCTATTTCATGATATCAAAGTAAGTTTCTCCCATGCGCGATTTACTTGGACCTGCCCCTTATCCTTTCTGAAATTGTGATAAAAGCTTTAATCAAAGTAACTTTGTTTTAGAATCCAAAATTCAGGTATTATGACAAGAATGATCTGCTGCTTCTGGCAGACTTTGTTTGATGCATCCGCAGGTGGTAACTTACAACATCCTCTCATCTCAGTGACAGCACTTTTTCTCTTGTTTTAAGCAAGATAATTCTAGTAATCAAGTAAAATATTTATTGCTTGTAATTGTTCATTAAGATCAAAATATCTATGTGTGATCAAGATAGAGAAAAATGTATTTTCCAGCACGATCACAATAGTTGTGGGGAGAATTCTGACATCATTTCAGCTCTGCTCTCAGATTTGTTGTAGAAGGCACAATACACTGAACACTGCCAACTGGTAACACGGAGGAATTTGATGTTACACATTATCTCTTTACCATTGGGAGAATAAATAAACAATGATTCAGAGACAAATAAGTCAGTGTTGTTATTCTGATACTTGTAAATTGTATCCTGTGGGTTTTTTTTAATCTAGCAAAAAATATGAGTATGTAGCACCATGGATGTCATTTAGGGAGCTCTGTGGAAAAAATCTTGGTCCTTGCTCAAAAAGTTACAAAGATTTTTTAAGGTGGTGATATTAGACCACCTGTTGGTTGGGAAAATTTAGAAACTATAAAATAGCCATAAAATAGCCCTAATTTTTCACCACAGGTAATTAGTAATGAAATTATGTGATAGGTTCCACTATGGTCAGAATGTGTGTGTCCCCAGTGAATTTCATATGTTCAAATTCTAATTCCAAAGTGATGGTACCAAAAGGTAGGGATTTTGGAAGATGGTTCGATCATGAAGATTCAGACCTTGAAAGAGATTAGTGTCCTTCTGAAGTAGCCACAAGGGACTACTTTCGTGCCTATAGCATGACAGGTTACAGAGAGAAGAATGATGTCCAGGAGATGCAGACTTCAAATCTGCTGACCCCTTCATTTTGGACTTTGCAGCCTCCAGAAATGTGAGAAATCAACTCCTGATGTTTACAAGCTATTCAGTTGATAGAAGTTTGTTAGCACAACCTGAATAAACTAGACCAGGCACTTCTGATTCTTTGTGAATAATGCCAATGAGATTTTGCTAATTTAAAGGGATATTTTTATTGAATTATGATATAATGATATAAACTGTAAAATACAAAACTACCAAATATTATTATACACTAATTTCAGTTCTTCATTATTATATATAATATTATGATATATATAGCATAAATATCTATATTCACCAATAAATGGTAGTACTTTTCTCTTTTTTTGGGTACTGGGAATCGAACTTGGGTCCTTGCACTTGCAAGGCAGGCAGCAGAACCACTGAGCCAAATCCCCAGCCCTGGTAGTACTTTTCTTAAAATTATATTCAAGTAGAATTACTGCATTAGGAGTATAGATATGATTAACACTTTTGAGACGCGTTGTGAGATGGCTCTCCACATTCTGAATTGATTTATAGTTACATTAACAAGACATCGCTTTCTGAATTTGAGATTTCATTTTATTCCAAGTAATTGTGGTTATAAATGCACATTAGAATTCCATCAACTTTACATTAGTCTCCTACTATTGACTGTAACAATTATATTATTTTTGGTAACTTTAAATAAGAATAGTTCTGTGAAAATCATAGATTAAAAAATAAATGATTTAGGAAGGTTAATGGTCCATGAGTCTATCAAACTGCGACTCAGAAGAATTGTATTATTTCTTTAGAAATGCTATGAGATTTCAGTTCAAATACATTCTATTTTTTTCTTTTCCTTTCAGAATTTTGCTTCTGGGCATTACAAGAAAGCTCTGCTTGCCATCTGTGCTGGGGACATGGAAGACTGCTGAAATTGAAAGAAGGAAGGATGGGGAGGATTACTTTTATAGATGCAATGAAATATAGACTTTCTGAAAAATTTGTGCTATTAGTAGTGTAACAGAACTTTAGAACCATATTTTCTCTTATACCTTTAAAATCACTCCAGGCCAAAAAAGTCTCTTACTGAAAATATATGATACTGGATTTCCAAGTGTTATTTAATCAGCAATTAATTAAACTCTCTGTGATGGAATAATAAGAAAAAAAGTTTCAGAATAGATTTTATTTAAATGTAAACTATCAACATCCCACAAGAAAGATCTCCTTTGATTGGGAAAATGCAGCGTGTGGGAGAATTTTCTGGAGTCTTGTACAAATACAGTAAAGCTAATGTGAGCACCCAAAGTAGCTTGTAAAAGGAAAGAAAAATAAAAACAGCTAGATGCACCAAGATATATGCCTACAAGGACAGCTGTACAAGAGACTTCAGTGTAAAAATAGTCCACAAAGGGAGGTGTCCTGGTGGAGGGGGCAGGGACAGTGTGTACTGTGGCTGTGCTAAAGGCATTATCTCTAGCTAATGTTTCAATCCATACTTACCCACTTGTCCAGGTGATGTCCAAAATGTCTTTGCTCACAGATTTTTGTCTTCCTCACATTAAGGACTAGGGTTTCACAGAGGATTTTGAGGCAGACATCAAGCTTGTGACATTGTCTTTGGATGCTATTTCTGCACTCCCTATTTTTTTTAAATGACAAAAATAGTGTACTTAGCTACTTTCCTACCATTCTTTCTTTTTAGTTCCCAAATTGGTTAGTTACTTTAGTACCTTTACATTGTAGTTGTGTAAATTATTTACATTGCTTTCTCTGAAAAAATTAAGCTCACTTTTGTGTATATATTGAATCTAAAATTTGAAAGACAATAAAAATCACATTGGGTATTTATCATAATACTCATTACAGATTCAAGTTTGTGATCAGATGCAAATAGTAGGAAATATATCCTGCATCACTAAAACTTCCCTATAACAGACTGTAAGAGCATTAAAGACATTGGTCATGCACCAGGGCTTTCAGTGTTGATCACGATGGTAAAAGAACCAACTTTAAACAGTTCTAACAATGTTCAGGTACTCTTGAAAGAGCAGGTTATGAGACCGGCATGGTGACAGCATTCCAGGAGGCTGATGCAGGGGTAGCACAGTTTTGAGTCCAGTTTGAACAAATTAGGGAGAACCTGTCTCAAAATAAATATTAAAAACAAAAAGATCTGGGATGTAGCTCAGTGTGAAGTTTGCAGATTCAAGGGAAGGGAAGGGAAAGAGGGAGGGTGAAGGGAGGGAAGGAGACTACAAAAGACGGTGCATTAACACATTTTCTTTTGACAACAACCCTAGCATAATCATATCATTCGGACTTTTCCAATGAGATCACTTTTCAGTCTTTTGGGTAAAATAAAGTATAAAGTTACTAATGCGAGAACTCAAGGAGAGAGAGCAATCAACTTATCCCAGGTCACACGACTAGTAAATTGGGAACTAGGAATTCAACCCTGACAGCCTGGCATCGGGAAGCTGTACTTCCTCTTTCATTTTCAAAGGAATAGATCCTTTGTAGCTAAAATGTCTTTTCTCTTTGGCAGATCTTAGATTTTTCTTCTTTATCTTTGGAGCACTGAAATTCTATCAAAATGTGTTCAGGTATGGAATTCCTTTTTTTTAATTAAACTTACTATTGTTAGTAGAGAACTCTTTAAAAATCTTGGGATTCTCTTTGGCCCTGGGTTTGTCTTAAATTATATTTTCTCATTATATATTTTTTATTATTTCCTTTTGAATTGTCTGTGAAATGGATTCAAACTTTGATTCATTTTTCATTTATCTTCATGTTCCTCCATATTGTCTTATTTTGCTGTGTTCTGGAAGATTTTGGAATTTTAGCTTACCGAATTGGGAGTGTTTATTTTGGTTTCACACAGCTCTGGTCCTCACCACTCCCCCGGTTGTGGCATTCTGTATACTTAATGTATGCTAATATTTACAATGCAATAATTAAAATTTCAAATTTGATATTTTACCACTTTTGATCTGAAAATGTATTTTCTTCTTTTTCAGACAAATACAATCACACGTTTCATAAAATTAACTCTCAGAACTAACATTATATTCTAATTGTCAGCAGATATCCATAACTCTATCATATGTAGTTTTATAACTATGCTTATGTCTACTAGGTGCTCAATATATTTGTTGACACAATACTATTATTTTAGGTACTTGTTAGTGCCTACCTGCTTTGAAATTCTGCTACTAGCTCCACATCTCCAACAACGGGTGAAAAGGATTCGATAGGTTATATTTGATGAGGTAGATTTGGATTTATGTCTCTAAGTTAATTTTTTAATGTACATAAGCACTGTAATGAAGATCTTTGGTGCCTCATGAATCTGTCTACTGAAATTTAGATCAGGGTGAAGGGCTTCTCTTTCTTCTGTGAAGTTCCCACAGTGAATCATAATCAGTCTTTGCCTCCCTTTTCTTGTGTAACTCTATAGAGCATGTTAGTGTACCTTTTAAAGCTGTGTTCAAGAGAGAACTTTCATTCAAGACAACTGTTTCAGGGTGAACAGAATTCAAATCCCCTGACACAAGATTCCCTGTATAAAAACTGAAAAATCAAACCTTATATATTTTAAGCAGAAAATTTTGAGTTCTACCAGTGCTGTCAATTGCATATTACAGTATTGTCAGAGGTGAAAATAATGCAATCCATGAAATACAATTCTAGGAGGCTAGTCTTCAAAAGTGTGTGTGTGGAAACCCAAAAGGTTAGTACAATAATCTAGAGCTAGTAACTTGCTCCTGTGCTTAAAGGGACAAAGTGAGCAAGTATTTACTTAAAGGCATAACCTTGAGTTGCAAAAACCCATCCCATACTTTTCTACTATAATTTGTACTTTCATTTAATAGTAACCCACTGTGTCTCAGTAGCTGTGCTTGAGGAAGTGATTTTTGTGCTTAATGACTTGGTACAACAAACAGCAAAGTGTGTCTATGTGTAAAAGTGTCAAACTGGGAAATTTACCCACATATTGCTCCTTTTAAACACTTTGGCATATGTTGCTCCATCCATCTATTATGTGAATAGGTACTGTACCATAACGTAATGTAGTTGTGGCTCACAGAAGCATGGGGAAAGCAAGAACCCATCTGCGCAATCACTTCCTTCACAGATGAACAGCAAGGTGTGTACTGGAACTCCAAAGCAGCAATGAGTGTGCATTTAGTATTTGACATTGATGTGGGCCAAACTTCCTGTGACAGTGAAAAGGAGCAAGAGTTGAGTTATACAAACATGGAGAATAAAGAGCTCTCTGATTCAGATGACAAAAAAAAAAGTAATGTTAGTACATATTTGAGTAGTCAAAATGTTACAAAATGATCATGCAACCAAATGGAATGATCATATGTTAGAATGATATCTGAAAAATATAGTGAAGGTTTTGGCAGGGTTGAAACGTACGGCACAGAATGCCAGCACTGCCATTCAACATTGAAAATGTGTTTGTAACAGATGAAATTCCACAAGATGTTGTAAAATACACAAATGATGAAATACAAGTAAAATGTTCTGTATGCACCGATCACTATACTCAAAATTGTGTTTAGTATAATATCTCATTAGCTGAGTTGAAAACATTCATAGGTCTCCTGTATTTAGCAGGGTTTTCTCGTGGTAATTACAGGAATGTAAAAGACTTATGGATGTAAAAAACTTGTGGATGTGGGCTTAAGGTTTGTAGAATAACAGTGACAATGAGGAGAGTTGGTTTCCTTCAAAATTACCTGAGGTTTGTTGAGAAAACCACCCACCAAGAAAGAACAAGAACTGATAATTTATCAGCTATCTGCTCATAGTTTGAGAGCTTTGTTTCAAAATGTCAAGCAATTTACACACCACCTGAAAACGTAACTATTAATGAACATCTTGCAGCATTTCATTGTCCTGTAGCTCTAGGCACTATATGCTTTCAAAATATGTTATATATATTATTTTCCAAATGAAATGTTGCAATTTCAAAATAAAAATTGCATAGTACAATCTTTGGATTTCAGAAAGATAGCACTGACCTCATATATGGCAAAGAAAAACGGGTACTGCTGATAACGTTGCACCATGATGGAAATATAGATATGGAAACCTTATCCAAATGAAAGCCTGAGATTGTAACTTTCAACATTAAACCCAAAAGTTAAGTAGATGTTGTTGATGAGCAAGGCAGAAACAATGATGTCCCTTAGAACACAAAGTGTTGGCCAATGGTTACGTTTTATTTAATCCTAAATAGGTATGGCATAGTTTGATAGTTTAGGAAGAAAATAACCAGTGTAAAATGCAATGGACAATTTTTCCTAGAGGATTGCGACTGGAACTCCTAAGAGATCATTTACAGCTGAGGAAAATCAAACTATTTCTGCCTTGGGAAATATGAAAAAAGAATTGTGGAGCACACTGGTGAGCTAACAGAGGAACAGGCAAGTGCAGCATCACAAAGACCTACTATGACAACAAGAGAACTAAAAAGATGTCAACTGTGCCCAACAAAAAAGTACTTTTTTAAATTCATAAGATTTTAATTAGTTTTCCAATTTCATTAATTGATATTGGATTTTTTAGAAATTTTAGGTCATCTTCATTCAACTTTGGTAATTCATATGAACCTAGGAATCTGTCCATTCTGTATTTTCCATCTTATTCATATATAGGTTCTCAAAGTACATATTGATGATCCTCTGGATTTCTGCCTGGTCCATTGTAATTTCACCCTTTTGGGTCCTAATGGCATGGATTTGGGTTTTTTCTTTCTCTTTTTTGATAAGGTTGGCTAAGGGTTTCTCAATTTTGTTTATCCTTTCAAAGAACCAACTCTTGGCTTCATTGATTTTTTTTTTGTATTGTTCTTCATTGCATTAATTTCTGCTCTGAGCTTTATAATATCCTCCCTTATATGAGCTTTGGGTTTGCCCTTCTCTTCTTTTTCTAGAAGCTTGAGGTTGAGCATCAGGTTGTATAGTTGAGCTTAC